GACAGGCCTCTCTCTATAGTCCAGCACCTCCCCCTGAGTCCCCTAACAATCTGGTACCAGTATTGGAGAGGGGAAGGGAGGTCTGTTAATCCCATTGGCCAGAGTACTGCTACGATCCTCTTGAGTGTGAAAAGCAGCAGGTTCTTGGTGAAGCAAACAGGTTCCTGCTTCCTAGTTTATTGGACTCAATGTCTAGTCTGTTTTATTCTCCTTCTCAATATTTAGCTAAACACCAACAGTAACTAGGAAAAGCTGTACTGAAATTCTCCGTCTCAACTCATCCAGGCTTGAAACACTTCACCTTGAGGTGGTACACAAGAACCAAGCCACACAGTGCAACATTTAGGATGTCAATTGTCTCGTTCTCCCACACTCCTTCTGGTCTAATCTAGTCTTTGTCTTCCTTCTTCACCTTCTCCCAAAGTTCTGACTCTTGCACGGAAAAGCCTACCAAGTTTTGTGATGCGCCTGAAACTCTCACGCTGTTCTCTGTGGTCCACACACATATCTGGACCTTGGCTCATGTCAGGGAGTTTGTGGGTTACCACTGTGAAAGTTCTCACTATGCTAATAACCTCCAGACAGGACTTCTGGCCCTCAAGTATAGACTCTGGCAACATTACACTGATTTTTATCATATGGAGAGTTATTTTCCGTTCCTGGAGAGTTTAAAGGCAAAGAATTAATATAAAGGGCGCATATACACAGTGAGGATTTGCCCAACAATCTCTAGAAGTTAAGGGCAATATGAATTCATACAACGGTTTAACATGAAATGCTTTTTAACTCCCCTGTGATTCATGGAAAGAAGATTTGGGATAATGAAATGGTTTGGAAACAACTGTTTCTTTGTACTGAAATAATAATGAAGGCCCAGGCCAGGTAGCTCAGCTTGTTAGAGTGTCATTCCAATATGCCAAAGTTGCAGGTTTGATCCCCAGTCAGGGTACATACAAGAATCAACCAATAAGTGGAATAACAAATCAATGTTCCTCTTCCCCTCCCCCAATCAATAAGTTTTAAGTAATTAAATAATTGAAAACAAACACTAAAAACTGTTTATTAAATTTAAATACACACCAAGTTAGACTCATTAATCTCTTGTGATTAAGTGTAGCTGGGAATTTTGACTCCAGTCTCATCACTGTGACTAAACAGCATGATTCAGACACTCTTCCTCTGTGCTACCAGAGCTCTCTGTGTAACATGTCACATCATGCAATGTTTTGCTTCTCCCTCTACACCAGAGGCTGCTTCAGAGTACAAGCTATGACTTACATGTTTTGACATAGCAAGCCCAGCACAGTGCTGGACACACAGTAGGTGTTAAAAAATATTTCTAAAGGGAAAGAAAGGATACTCATTATGAATTTCTAACTAAAATTCTCCTACCTCTGAAGGATTCTAAATTAACAGTAAATAACTACATTCCCCAAGCCCTAGATGTGAGGATATTTGGTATGTGAAGTTAGTAAATGTTTAGTAACAAATGACCTGCTAAAATAAATAACCATGGAAAGGAATAAGCCTCCAAAGAAGCAAAGAAAATGAAAGTTTTCTACTGACTCAGAATTCTTGAGCCCTCTTAGCATACTTAGTATTCAAAATAACTACTGAATAAGTTACGGAAATATAAACACAAAAAGGAAATGGTCTTGCCAACTACCATTTGCTTTCTATTTTCTTTTCAAATCCAAATGACCTTAGGATCTAGGCCAAGAGGAGGCATGAGATTTCAACACTCAAAAAATGTATTAACTGAATTAAGAGGCCTAAATAAAAATCTACTCATGTGAACTTGTATTTGTGTTAGAAGTATGCACTGTGTGCATAACTACTGTCATGGGCAACCAAGAGCAGCAGCTTCTACCTAGTGAAGTTTTACTTAGAAGCATGGAAGAGGGTGACTCTTCACTGCAATACTGATGCCTACGTACAGCTCAACAGCTCTGGTTGGCCTTGTTGAAAGGAACCCTTAAAACTCATCAAATCTACCTCTACCCATTCACACTGAGCATAAAGCTAATGTCTACTGAGACCCTGCCCGGATAGCTTAGTTGGTTCGAGTGGTCACCCAATACACCAAGGATGCAAATTTGATCCCTGGTCAGGGCACACAACAATCAACCAATGAATGCATAAATAAGTAGAATAGCAAATCAATGTTTCTCTCTCCCCTGCCCCTTTCCCTCCACTTCTAAAATCAATAAATTAAAAAAAAAAAAAAGAAAGAAAGAAACTGAGGTGCACTGAGAGGAAGTAACTTGCCCTGGGGTATAAAGAAAGCTAATGACAGCCCTGGCTGGTGTGGCTCAGTTAGTTGGGCGTCATCCCACTAACCAAAATGTCACAGCTTCAATTCTTGGTCACGACACATGCCCAGGTTGCAGGTTCAGTTCCCAGTTGAGGCGTCTGCAAGAGGCAACTGATTCATGTTTCTCTTCCTTTCTCCCTCCCTTCTCCGCTCTTTGGAACCAATAAAAGAAAAAAGAAAATTTAAACGAACGTTAATGGCAGACCAAGGGCCGAATAGGTCTTAAGGCCAAAGCCAGTAATCTACTACCCTGCACCATCTCCCTGCCAACTATTAGATTTATGTTCATTGTAATACATCATATCAAAGTATTGTGCAAGTGCAAACTGAAGAAATGATGAAATATAGCAAAACCTTCCCAAGCAGACTTTTCAAAAGAACTGCATATTCTAGTTGATTTGCTTTTCTGATCTCCAAATGTTGGTTTTGATAACTGAACTTCACAATTATCAGGTAAAAGGACATGAGAGAGGGGGGAAAAAAAGAAGAATGAGTACTGTTCCTATCTCAAGGCATATGTAGAGAGCCATTTTCTTTCTTGATAGATCTCTGCTATATATAAAAGCAGTGGTGGTATGGTACAAAGAGCACAGCCCTACCACTGACTGACCAGCTGTGTTAGCATTGTTCAAGCCAATCTCTCTGGAACTCAGTTTTCACATCTTTAAAAAGATAAACTAATGTAAGATCTCTTCTAGCTCTGAACTCACAGCATCTGGAACACTAAGCATGTTTTCTTATAATATGGAATGTTCTCTAGAAAGTACCTATATTGCCCCCCGCCCCGAAATTCTGAGTATATGATTATCACAGGTTAAAACAGACCTGAATGATAAATTAGTTATAACACTCAAGTGATACCTGGATCTCTTCTATAACTGCTTGTAACTTTGATGAATAATGGCTTTTTGGTTTATGAAGGAACTGCTCAGATATTTGCCATAGTATAAAACATTTAAGGGCCCTACTATGGTGTGGAAGCAGGGAAGATTGCTCAACAGATGGAAGAAGCTTTCTAGACCAAGGAGTTTGAACTTAATGTTTTATGTATCATGGTTTTACTGTTCAAAGCAATTTTTGAAGCTCACTGATTTAAAGGCTGAGCTAGGTCTCTCCGCTACCCTCCAAAAAAGGAAGTATGAAAAACACATATTAGTTCTTTTCACAAGAACAATATTACAGAATCACCACATGTATTAAATGCTATCATATACTGTCACAAGGTTGTCCCTTTTTTTGTATTTTTTCATTGTGGAAAAATATGCAGCACATAAAATCTACCATTTTTGCCATTTCTTAAGTGTATAATTTAGTGGCATTAATTATATTCACAATGTTGTGCAACCATCACCATTACTTATTTTCTAAAATTTTCTCATTACCCCCAGCAGAAACCCTATAACCAATAAGCAGTAACTCCCCATTTCTTCTCCTTTATTTTTACATTCTCAAAGGGCTTAATAACTTTCAAACTATGATATGCTGCCACCAGGTGGCATGAGAGTGTCATGGTTACCCAAGTTTGGGAATTGTTTCAAAAGTAAGTGAAAATGTAGATGAAATAAAATTGTTCTGGTCTGGTAACTTTTGAACCCAAGTGATGGGCACACAGGGGTTCGTTATTCCAGTCTTTCTACATCTGTACATGTTTTAAATTTCTAGACATGTATTAAAATTGTGCCTACAATGTTTATAAATACTGTGTACAGATGTCATACATTTTTAAACCCTATAAAAGATTTCATACATCGGTATTAGACAAATATTGTGTTTCTTCAGATATTTTTAAAATATGAGAAAATATTTATGCATAATAAATGCATCAATTATACCTTAATGTTAAATCCTGTTAGTAGGTAGCAGATTTCCAAGATTACATATTTATACTAGTTAACAAAAACTCTGTGTTGCATCCAACTAAATCTCATTAGTTACTAACTTGAAAAAATCAGTATTCAAATGTATCAGTATTCAACTCCCACATGTATGCAGAAGTAAATTCACAGAGTAACTGCAATGCAGTATTGTACTGTATCGCAATTTAAGAAGGTTTTGTTTCTTTAATAGTATACACAACTATACAAAGGAGTCAACTCTTAACTATCTCCAACAGAAGGAAGCTAAGAGGCAAAGAATTCAGTTTAAAACTGCATGTGTTTTCATTAATCCTTTTTTCTTTCATAAATTGCCATTTGACCAGATCACAGAAAATTTTGCACAGTAATTTTTAATTTTTCTAGCATTGGTAGCTTCACCTGGATGAATTTCTTTTTAAGGGAGACAATTTTGTTTATTGTCAAGGACCAAAAAACAAAGCCTGGAGATGTTCTATGCAAGTGGTGATAAGCTACTAAAGAAGGATGAGGTGGAGAGGAGACAAAATAATAAATACAGAGCACTATTTTTAGTGAACTCCAGCTCTTAATTCTAACACTTGATCCAAGGAGAAACAGCCACCCTTTTTCACTATGGCTGCAGAAAAATGGAAACCTCACTCAATTTATCAGTTCCTACATGGCAGGCTGAGCAAGAGACTATCTTAAGCTGATGCAAAAGGGCACTCAAGCTCTGTTAGGAACCCCCATTCCAAGCACAGAACAGATGCTGGAGACAGTCCACAGTTGCTGGTGGTGGCTGGTAGTGGTGGTCCTTAGGTCTCACGTTTCTCTTGATTCTCAATGATACGCTAGTCAGTTGAACATAATGGCTGGCCAACACAGACCTGCCACCAAATCATTCCCAGGTCTCTTTTGGCTTCATTCAGTAGAGTCTGAATTTCTACAGGGTCTTTTACATTCTTATTTTCTCTGAAGGCATCTCTTATCCCCCTGACAGCGTAAGTTGTATAATTGTAGGCACTAAAATGCTTCCTCTCTCTCAGTATCTCCAGGTATATATCTAACATTTGTGCGTGGCTGGACGCTGTTATTTTGGAAAGAAAAAAAAAGTGGGTCCTCTTTGCAGAGGTCCTGGGCTTAACCCAACCACAAAATTTCAGCCTATACAAAACCACAAACAAAATAAAATGCAGTGGAGTTTGGTTTTGCTAGCAGGCCTGGGCCTCAGGCTGCTGCTGGATGAATTTTCCTGATAACAACTAATCCAACAAATAATTTTTATCTCAACCATATTTACTGCTATTATTCCAAAATATGCATTCCTCTGCTTTATAAAACATTCAATACAAAGTAATTAAAAATTTTTCTTGATAATCATTATTAACATTAATTATCAAACTCTAATGGCTTGCTGCTGAATGCATTTCTTGGTTTTTCTCATCAATGATCTAGGCTCTGCCTGCCAGTGAAACTGCCTCCCCTCCTGGACTGAGGGTCTCTCTTGGCCCCTTCCTGCAATTCAGCTTTCAGCCTACTGAACTCACTGAGTATAATGAATGCCCACTGCTTCTTGTTCCTTGCTAGCTCAAATGCCCCACCTCCGTGGTTCCAGAACTGCTATATCCTACATTGTGCCAGGTGTGAAGACCAACACACTGGGTTGTGCTGACCTATTTAACGGTGGACTTGTTTTAGAATTATAAAGAATCTTAATGAGAGGTCAACCTCCCTGTTTTGGAGATAAGTAAAGGCTAAGGCAATTAAGTGACCCATCCAAGGTCACAGGGCTATTTAGTTGCAGAATAGCTATTAATAGTCAGAACTGCTGGTTTCTAGTCCAAATGGTTTTTGTACTATTACATCAACACTCACATCCTGCAAAGTTATCATACAATAAGAGACAAGCTGATGAAACCATGAAGCCAATTTTCCCGAAATTCTTTAAATTAATGGGCACTGGTCCTTCCAGAAATAAGACAATTAAGTCTGATTTCTGCTAGATGAACCTATGTTAAGGTAGGTCTATCTAGTTTTATCACAGATGCTGGCTTTCTTCCAGAACATGAAAGCAATGGACTCACAGGAATTAATCACATTTAAATCAAATGTAGATAAAACAATGTTACAGAATCACACATTGCAGGTAACAGTCTACAGTAGGACATGCTTTTTTTTCTTTTAAAGATTTTATTATTTCTGGAAAGAGGGGAAAGGAGGGAGAAAGAGAGGGAAAGAAACACCCATCGGTTGCCTCTTGCACGCCCCCAGCCAGGGACCTGGCCAGCAACCAGGCCGTTGTGCCCTGACCCAGAATTGAACCAGCAATCTTTTGCTTTGCTGGATAATGCCCAACCCACAAAGCAACAGTGGTCAGGGCAGGACATGCTTAAATCAGACCCTCTCTGATTGAATCTGAACTATTTAATTGGCAATTTATCTATTAATTTTTTACTCTTCTACTGGGCAGTAAGACAATGACAGGCATCTTTCCTTACAAAAGAGCTCCACTCACATCATGCAAATGGGCAGACATTAAGATAGTTTAAAGTCTTCATTTGAGAATAACTTTAAAGCCTTGCTGTACAAATTTTATAATAAGCCTTGTTGATATCAATCTTTAAGGCATAAGTTCTCAAATTGCAGTCCACAGGCCCCAAAAAAATTTATCAATGGACTTTAGGAGGTCTGTGAACTCACTAAAGTGTACACAATATTCTGCGTGCATGTGCATACATGCATTTGTTAGGAGAGAAGATCTATGGCTTTATCAGATCAGAATCACTGCTTTTAGTAAAACAGTTTTCAGGCAAGGCAGTTCACTGCTGCCTGCAGCATGTTCAAAACAAATGTTATGGGATTACTCTCTTAACACACACTGAAGCCTTCAGGAATGCAGAACCTCAACACAGTGATAATCCTGAGAGATCAGAAGTTCCCTGGTTGCAAGACTGGGAGACAAGGCCACTATATATGGTAAGTCCACTATACCTTCTGATCAACATATCTCCACATTTGATCTCCTAACCAGAGAGCATCAAGAAAGCAAGATTGTCTTCCACCTAAAATAAAAAGATAGGGGGAGGGGTAGAGACATGCTGGGGGAATCCATAAGATCAAGGGCCTTCCAGCATCCATAAACTAGCAATAACCCTCCCTGAAAGTACTTTAACTAGTACTACCATCTCTTAAGGTTAAATTTACTACCCTGTATTAAGGAATTAACCCCATTTCTTAAAACAAAACAAAAAAACCCCTCTGTGCCAAATATCAGTGACAGAGTGATGGAGGATTTCCCTCATTTTGGTACTTTTAAGTATCAGTATTTTGAGAATAAACCCATCATCATCATCGGTCCCGCCTGGTGTGGCTCAATTAATTGAGTGCCGGCCTGCAAACCAATGAATCACCAGTTTGATTCCTAGTCAGGGCACACACCTGGGTTGCGGGCTGAGTTGCCAGTATGGGGAGTGTGAGAGGTAACCACTCACTGTTATTTCTCTTCCTCTTTCCCTTCCCCACTCTCTAAAAAATAAAAATTTTTTAAAAAGGCACAAGATACCTTAAAAAAAATTACCATGCCTTCATAAGCTTTGATCACAAATCCCTGTAGTGTTTTCCAAAAAGAACTGCTTTACATTTAACACCCTGGATGCATGAGAGAAAGAGACTGTGAGAGTGAATGAGAGTGAGACAACATACTCCATCATATACAGGCCACATAAAACATTAACTCTAAATACTGTATGCAGTATTCACATGTTCACAGGTTTCCAGACTAAATATTCCTTTCTCCAGCTTGGAGGGAAAAACATTGAAATTCATTCTTAGCGTTGTATATGGTAGTAGATGATGCATATGAAAATAAAATACTGTATGCAATATTTAGAGTTACAACTAACTTAGAGTTAGTACTGTATACTGTACACAGAAATCCTTCTTTCCTTCCACCACCACGAAGTACTATTCACTTTAGAGATTTGTGGATTTCAGAAATTTTTATTTTCATACGCATCATCTACTACCATATACAATACTAAGAATGAATTTCAATGTTTTTCCCTCCAAGCTGGAGAAAGGAATATTTAGTCTGGAAACCTGTGAACATGTGAACACAAGATTCTCCACATTGATTGGTAACATCAGCACAATGCTGTTTTATGCCTATGTATTTTTAGGCCATTGCTATCTGACACTTCAGAGGAAACTTTTGAACTTAATGCCAAAAAAAAGGGGGGGGATCTTAGGAGGCAGAGAATTAAATCCACTGGCCAAAACCATACCTTTTTATATCTGAAAACTATACTCAGGGTAAAATCAGTGCTTCCAATTAGAGACCACAAATGTAATTTTAAAAATTTTCCTGTGGTTTCTTTTTTTTTTTTAATTTTTATTCATTGATTTGAGAGAGAGAGAGGAAGGGAGGGTAAGGGAGGAAAACAGAGAGAGGGATAGAGAGAGAAAATGAATCTGTTGCTCCACTTACTAATGCATTCATTAGTTAATTCTTGTAAGTGCCCTGACCAAGGATCGAACCCAACTTTAGAATATCAGGAGGACACTACCTAACTGAGCTACCCAGCCAAGGCTTCTTGTGGTTTCTTCAAATCATGGTCAGCTAACTACAAGATGACACTGAAAGACTAAAAACAGTAATGACCAATAAATATACTAGAAATTCCAATTCTCCCATTTTATAGGCAAGGCGTAATTGTTTGATATAAACACACAGAGTTAATTATCCACACACCTTCTTCACAACTCTATATAGGTGTCTAAGAAAACAAAAAAAAGGTAGTAGAGTATTAAAAATAAGTTGTTCTCAGTTTGCAAAACGGATGGTTTACTTCCCTAGCATAAGTGACCATAAGGAAGAAATGAACCTAATCCAAAGATTAAGCAAACTAAACAGGAAATTCAGAGACGGGTAGAAAAAAGTTTTATCTAAAATGGTTTAGTGAAGCTATTATATACACACACTCACCTGTAATAAATGGAGTGACAATGAAGTGTGTGTGTGTGTGTGTGTGTGTGTGTGTGTATCACCCTACTCTTTACCCCAAGAACAGGGTTTATCTGGAGAGTAAAGTAAATCCAAACACAGTAGTAGGAAATGGGTTTTTTTCTAGGCCCAGGAACACTTACTGGACTAGGAGACACAAGTTTAATTAGTGACACGAGCACATATAAGCAGCAAAGAACCACCTGAAAGTTGCAATCAGCAATGAAAAACAGTTCCTGAGCCCAAACTTGAGCTATACCCAGAGGAGAGACAATGGGGAGGAAAGGGGGAAATATACACACAAATATTCTGTATACTAGAGGCATTTACTGCTGAGAGGAAAAGATTTTTCATCAAGCCTGTCCCCTGCCATCACTTAGATGAAATTGTCAGATGAGCTATCTGCTTGTGCTCCAATTCCATTCCATGCATATGTACTGAGCAGCTACTAAGTGCCAGGCAATATATAAGGGCCAGGTAAATCATGATAGTGAAAACAGGAAACAGATTATTGCCTCACGCTGCTTGCACTCGAGTAGAGAACAATTTAAAAGGAAGGGAGGCAGGACGGTGTAGCCCAGTACCTTTCACTCCCTCTGTTCTTCCCAATACCAATTTTTGTCAGAAGATGATATGTTAGGATAACATCAAAGTTATATTAGAAGAAATGCCCCCCCCCCCAAAAAAAAAAGGAGAGAGAGAAAGAGAGGTCTGGGTGTGTCCTGTAAATAAATGTTTAGTTCTGAAGAATATGATGATTAAAAACTACCTAAACTGGATGGAGCCAGGTACAAGTCAACAGAGGCATGAACATAGCTGTCAAAGATCTTCCCAGTCTTGGGCAAAAGGAAAGTTATCAGAACTGAAAGAGAAGGGATAAAGAAAAGGAAGAAGAAAGATCAAAGGAGAATGGGCTTCTGGGAACTCACCCAAGACAAAGTGAAAAATTATTTGCAGCCTCTTCTGAATGCACTTTTTCTTTGTTTTAAAATATTTTATTTATTAATTTTTAGAGAGAGGGGAAGGGAGGGAGAGAGGGAGATAAACATCAATGTGTGAGAGAAACCTCAATTGGCTGCCTCTCCCATGCTCCCCAACCAGGACCAGGCCTGCAAACCCAGGCATGTGCACTGACTGAGAACTGAACTGGCAACCTTTCGCTTTGAG